TATCATGTCAGTCGATCGCACCATTACTTCTGTATCAATGACAATTTAAAATTTAAACAAACATATAAAGACAACCGAAACCATCCTGTCGGGATTCAGAAAGGCCGGAATAATTCAAACTGGAACAATGCATTTTTTTGGCTGGTGCGACTTATACTCCGGAGCGACTTATAGTCCAAAAAATACAAGATCTCATGCTACAAGATTTTGCGAGACAAAATTGCCATGAGATTGTGCACGCATGTGAAAAATGACTTTCTTTTTCATGTTTTTACATTTGGATTGGACAAAAAAGGAAGTTAAGTACATTTTTTGAGAAACTGTAGTCCTAAAAACTACATGCTATAATGACAGCAGAAATACTAAATAAAGGAAATAAAAAATAATGACGCCAAAATTGGGAACTGGATTGCAAATTTTTAAAATTATTTCTTATAAATAATGTCAAAATCTCGTCTTGTCTTGTTGTCATAGATTGAATCTCGTGTCTCGTCTTATAGAAATTGTATCTCACCCCAACCCTAATATTTAGACTTAGACTTAGACAAACTTTATTGATCCACAAGGGAAATTATTTAGACACAGAAGCTCACACATCACAATTATTATTATAAAAACAAAGAGAAAATCAAAAATAGCAAGAGACTGGTGTCAAATAAGATATAATTATATAAATGTACAAGTAAAAATAAAATATAGAAATAAAGTTAACACTCATCAGTTGTAATGCGGATTTATTCTTAGTTACATGAACATTGGATATACAGGCTAAGTGTGTTATAATTTGATGTTTTGGTTCACGTGAGTCTTCTCCATTTTAGTTGCCAGTCTCAACGCTGAAATCCAGTTGGTTTAAACCTAAAAAGACTCTCTCTGGTCTAAATTGTCCATATACTAAGAAAGAGAAAAACTTGCATGTGTCATCTATATGCAGATTAAGGCTGTGGCAACCCAAGGTCTTTTGTGATTGTAGTATTTTTTCAAGAGGATTACAACACAGGCTACGCACAGTTCCTTTAATGGCATCTTTCTCTACATCCTCTTGCCATCCATCCTCATTTTCCTTAAGCAACAGACTTTTGCTTCCAATCTGATGTGCTTGATTGATGGTCAGAGAGGCTGTTGGTGCAGAAAGGCAGCCTAATTCATCCCCATGGCAACTAAATAATGAATAATAATGAAAAATAAATAATGAATAATAATGAAAAATAAATCAGAATGTTGAGAATCATGTAAAGTGCAAATATTATTATGACTATTTCTCCCTTACTCTTTCAGTCTGCCAAGTCATAAAATGTATTTGCTTTATTTGCTTGATCACAGTCCACGGGCCCCTTAATATTTTCGGTTGTGACCTAATTTTCCAGTATGCATTCACACTTGTTTAGTCCCGGTTTGAGGTCAGGTTAGTTTTGATTTAGGCTAGGTTTTGTCCAGGTTTAGTAGTTAGAGTGTCAAAAAACGCCCTAGACGCCTCTATTTGGACGCCTTTCCATTTGAGTTTAGGGACACCCAACGGAAGAAAAATATTTGACGCGCGTCCATTGACCTGAAACCAAGTGCCCGGTCCCGGTCTTTTCCCGAAACGATGGCGGACCGGACTGAGAGAGGGACTTAATGTATTAAATAAAACCAACAGCGGAGGTGATCGGGTGGATGGCTGCAGCACGTATATATGTATACTCCGCTAATGATGCTGGTTCAGTCCTGGTCCAGTCCTGGTCCAGTCCTGGTCCAGTCCAGTCCTGGTCTAGTCCTTGTTTATTCCTGGTCTGGTCCTGGTGTAGTTCTGGTCTAGTCCTTGTTTAGTCCTGGTCTAGTCCTGGTTTAGTCCTGGTTTAGTCCTGGTCTAGTCCTGGTCTGGTCCTGGTTTAGTCTTGGTCTAGTCCTGGTTCTAGTCCTGGTCTAGTCCTGGTTTAGTCTGTCTAGTCCTGGTCTAGTCCTGGTTTAGTCCTGGTCTAGTCCTGGTCTAGTCCTGGTTTAGTCCTGGTAGTCTGGTCTGGTCCTGTCTAGTCCTGGTCCTGGTCTAGTCCTGGTTTAGTCCTGGTCTAGTCCTGGTCTAGTCCTGGCCCTTCCTGGTCTAGTCCTGGTTTAGTCCCGGTCTAGTCCTTGTTTAGTCCTGGTCCAGTTCTGGTGTAGTCCTCGTGATTCGGTTCGGTGATTGCGACGTATATATTTATACTCCACTAATGTTTATGGTTCTCGCTCTGGTTCTCAGGTCTTTCTCTTTCTTTTGGATAATAACGTCACTATGTCCCTGGATACTTGTCCCTGATTGGTTGACGTGGCCTGTCTGACGCGAAAAGTTCAGCATTTTCAACTTCTGACGCCGACACCCTGGACATGTGTCGCTCAAGACGTGCATCCACATAGACTTTGCATATAAACTGGACGCCTTGACGCTCTGGTCTGAACGGGCTTTTAGTCTTATGGTGTTAAAAACTGCACATAAGAAGTTTGGATTTTTACCTATGATGCAACAATTCAGACAAAATGCATTTTTCAGTGCATAGTATACATATTTGGATTTATATTTAAGTGTGAATTAAGCAAAAATACAGCTCCAGTTATGTTTTTTAGACTTAGATTTTGACAAATTACATAACTACTTTTATTATTATGTATTTTTGAGCAATAAAACCACTTGTAATTGAATAAATGTAAGGTAGAGCTGTTTAATGTCATATTGTGGAACATTCTGAGCAGAGCAATGACATATCCATAGAAACAAGAAGGTGACGGACCCCCCAACCGAAAATTTACGCTGTATACTGTTACTTTGTTAACCAACCCTTGTAGTAACCCAAAAATCCTTTGTGATTTTTGTGTACTACACCCTGCCATATCTGATCCTACTATCTTCTTTTGTTCCTCCATTATCCTCGACTCCACAAACGTCTTTTCATGCCAACGCCATCGCCACTCCTCTTTCTTCCTCCGCCGCATCTGTCCATCAGTGCATAATTCATAGGCCGACCATTTTTTCCACAACGCAACAAAAGAAACGTCAGTGCCACGACAAAACTAGCGCACATGCTTTGTTTGCGAAGAATACATGCAAATAGGGGTGTTCCTCCGTCAAGGCCAGGCTCTCCCAGGTAGAAAAAATGTGAGCAATGCAGAGAAGCCGGTTCTGTGGTTGGAGAGGCTTGGCTATTTCAGTTATAAATGTGTGTGTGTGGAGATCCTGACTATGTTTCACTCGCTTGGATGTATATATAGGCCTAGAGAGAGCTATTTTTAAGGTGCTGTAAATAGTCGTAATGGGCCTAAAACGGTGTTGCCATTCCTGGATTGCAGTCTTCTGGTTCATTCATGAGAGCAGGGTGTATTTACAGAAGCATTGGGTTGCTAATGTTGCAGCCGCCGCGCTCTGAAAAAGGCTATTTATAAGGCAGGGTTTGTTTGTTTTCATGTTTGCAGCGTGGTGAGTGTTGGAGGAGAGAGTTTATGGAGCTGTTGTAGATGGGACGTGGGATTGTTGTGTCATGAGATGGTGAATATGCATGAAAAGGTTTGTTTGTGAAAGGGAGATTGAATAAAATCGGGGTTGTGGTATAATTAATTTGCAATATGCATTTTTTCTTTTATTTAACTTTTTTGTTAGTTCCCATTACACAGCTTTTGGCATTCTTGTTTTATTATTTAAACTTGAGTTAACTCATTATACGAACTTTATTCAGGTGGGGACATTTTACATAGCCTTACATTTAACATAGCCTGATTCATCAGCCAGTTTCACTTCATAGAAACCTTCTGACCTCGCAGTGTTAGAATTCGTTCACTCTATAAATGTTAGGTCTGTCAATGCGGTGTGATCTATTGAGTCTATAGTCATTGAATTACTTAAATTTGCTGTAAAAATGAATGCCTGTGATCAGTTGGGCCATTTCTGCATCCATGGCCTATATAATGCAAAAAGCCCTACCTGCAGCGTCGCTCTCTAGGATCATAAAAAATATAATTTCATTTCAAATAACATTACATGATCTCATTACTTTGCATTTGTTGAATTATATTGTACATTTATCCTGTGATTGTACCTTACATCCTCACTTGTGTATTGACTGACTCGTGATAGGCCCCTCCACAGACTGCAGCGCTCCTCTCGGTCGCGTCTCCGTTCGGGGACTCACGCTGAGCATGTCAGGCGGGCAGCCGGTTGCCGCGGGCGACCTGCAGATCAGTGATGTGGCGGTGATGCCTCTAATGAAGCTGACACAGCACAGCCTCTGCTGCGGGCCCCTGGGGGCCTCCTGCTCCACCCCCCGCCTGCCACAGCCCTGTTAGACATGCACTCCATTCACTGGCAATTCCAATGCACCACGCACCGTTTATGATTATTATTCATATGTGGGAGACGAGGGCCGTGTGCACAGAAAACTGGGTCAGGGGGGATACACTGATTTTTCTTATTTGATTTGATAGTTTGAGGTTTTGGGTTGTAAACTGCAGATTTTGTTCATTTGCATAGCTCAGATTTTTGCATCCCCATAAGATAGCATCTGTATTTGAACTGAACTTCCTGTTTTCTATTTCATATCATTTGGATTTTTGACACTTTCAAGCCTCTGTGGTGTTGTTAATACGGGTGCATTTTGTTTATTGTTAATGTTACAGAGTGAACCCACTACATGTTAATTAATGACATTGTTTAAATCTTGCACCAAGTTGAATTTTAGTCAAATGTGGAGGTAGTAGCTTTTACATTAAAACTTTGTGGCCATTGTACACCACATGCATTTGTATATTTATCCATCCAGAATACTTGCTTACCAAAGAACACTAAAATAGTCGAGTAGAACTTGACTTTAAATTATGTTGTTTCATACTTGTTCCACTTTGGTTTTAGGTGGAAGACATTTGATCCAAAGGCTGTACTCAATTCTCTGTGTCCATCTAAACTCTCCTAAAGCTTTGTTACTGTCTTTGCCTTCATGAACATCTTTAAAATGGATGAAAATAAAAATCTTATTGAGTCTTCTGTTTTGTGTTCACAGGAGCTGCCCATCTGACTTGAAGAAGAGGGCAGACCAGCTGTGTCCAGTGTTGACGACCTTTGACCCGGAAGTCGAACATGATCTGAAAACGGAACGCCGCATCACGCCCTCTCCTCCTCCTCCCTCTTTTTTGTTTACTTTTCTTTTTCTTTAACTCTTCTCGGCGTTAGACGATCTCCGAGCTCTTTCTGCGGCCGTGCCAGCAGGATCACAGCAGAAGAGAAGCGACACACGACGACCAAGACCATCGATTGGTGATTTGTGACCTGACCACGCCCCCTTGCTCCTCCCACCACACGCCGCCATCATGGGGAGGAAAAAGATTCAGATTCAGAGGATCACCGACGAACGCAACAGACAGGTACGGCAACATAGAGCAGAGGTGTACTGTATGGATGTCTAGGGACTAAATACTACAGTAAAAGCTGCAAGTTATTTTTAATGTTGAAGTAGTAATGTATTTGTCTGGATTACAGAATACACACTTCTTCAATACTTTACGAAGATGTGAGTCTGGTCACACTGGAGTATCATAGAGTTTAGATGGGAGTGATTGACAGATGGATTAGCCAATCAGAGACACACATGGGCCACGTTTACATGATATTTTTTTAATTCCAAATACATTTTCGACTGAATTAAATTGTTTGGAATTAAAATATTCTCCTTTGAGTTTACATGGAAATAATAATCTCGAAAACACGTTAAATCATCTTTATTTAATTCTGCTCAATGTCTGGGGCTGGGGAAGGGTTCTGATTGTACAGAGACACAAGCATATTTACGTCGACCGGAAGAAAACACACACTTCAGCTGCTACCGGCTTTTTTGTCATCTCCGTTTGTCGTTACGCCACGGACACAAACATGATACAAACTTTTTTCGTAGTCATTCCAATGATAATTAAGTAGCTCAAGAATTGTCTCATCACACTTTACGTCTGTGAGCTGAGGAGGAGAAGGGACGAGTGTCGGAGAAGGGAAGAAGACGACAAACTGAGTCAACGGCTGCTCTACCTCAGCCCACTCCCACATCCTGCTCACGAATCCAAAGAGCAGTGGATGAAAGTCCGAAGCCAGGACTGGTGGAGCCGGATCATCCGGATTGCGTCAGAAGGGCTGAACGACCGGAATTATTTTTAAGTAGAATAAATTTTTCCATGATCGAGTAATAAATTAATCTGGCTTTAAAATATAATAAACCACCCACTTACTTTGGTATTAAGTTTAATTCCATATAACCATTTTCAAATTAAGTGTTTACATGGTCTTTTTAAAGTAGAATACATTTTTATTCAGAATTAAATTATTTTTATTCAGAATTAAAGCTCTCAATGTGCCAATGGTCTGTCCATATCAAAACAAATATGAAGAAAGGAAAGTTAAGAACATCACAGGGGACTGAAAAATACTTTGGATTTCTGAAAATTTAGTGAGCGAAATTAGAAAATATGTCTAACTCATAGACTGTATAAAAGAAGTGGACTAAGTGAGTGTGCCAGGCTCTGTGTTATGAATAAGATTTTTTTGACGGACAAAATAGGAAAAAAATAAATAAAAAATCAGGATCATGTAGAGAAGGTTAATATGAAGATTTTAAGACCAAAATGATGAGGCTCACAGCAGCAGTTACAGAGAGATCCTAATATAAGTCAGTTGGAGCCAGGGTCAGAAGGAGTCGTATGATCCTCCTGGCGAACTTCCTATTTGGCGGCTACAGCGTTAGCTCTGTCCATTCATATATATGGTTTATGGTCTAACTGTATTTAAAGGTGCTCTATTTAACTTTACTGGTGGGGATTCTGCCAGGCAGTATGACTTCATGATTCAGTTACAGGTTTTTATTGCTAAAAAACAAACATACAAAAACAGCATTCATTTTTTAGAGCTGCTTCAGCTCTCCACAGAGCTGACCTGTAACTTTGCCTGGTTGCGTGCATAGACTGTAAATATAAATGCACATACCTAACTTGCTTGCTGTTGCATTTCAAACAGGAAGTGCGCATTCCGGCTCCATCGATTCATATTGACTCACTCTTAGCTCTCTTTCAGTGATCCCCCCAAATATTAATTAACTCGGTAACCTCACTTTCCCTCCATTGACTAGACTCCGAGCCTTCAGAGCCTGAAAATTCTTTTGCATTGTCGTCCTCCATGATTGTGACTTTCTTCGTCTTTTTTCACCTACTTCAGCGCAGAATAGTGACGTTTGTCGCTTGTTGATGACGTGTAGGTGGGATGAATGCGACCTGGCCGTTCAGACTGAAGTCGCATGTCGAAAGATCGGATATGTATCGGTTTTAAGAGCACATATCCAAGTGTCCTGGGTCACATTTGTAAAAAATCGGATCTGTGTCGTTCACCGTGTCATTAAAAGATCAGATACAGATCGCATAGGGGCGAAAAAATCTAATTTGGGTCACTTCAGGCTGCAATCTGAACGTAACCTTACATGCTCCTGGTGTTTTTATTTCACAAATTTGTCTGTACATCAATCCCTATTCCTAATATGGAACTCCATGCCAAGTTCACCCCTATAACCACAGGCCTCGATGAGCTTTATTTGACTGTAGCCCGTCCTTGCAATCATGTAGACAGACACGTTTAATGCTATACTGGAACATTAAAAAGAAGTTAAAAGTTTTGGTATATTCAGTTGTATTTGACCTTGGATAATGTGATTTACAGTAACATTGTGGATGACCGAATAATATTTTCTCCAAGTTTCCATCTCCCATCCAAAAGCACTAAAACACTTGTTACCAGAAATATAACTTGAGCGCACGCCTCGCTTTAATGAGCATGAAAATTATTTGCCTAAGAAGCGCTATTTCCCTCCTCTCCTTTATCCAAATTCCATAAATACGACTGGAATACATGCTAGGTCTGTCTCACGGGGATACGGTACACCTCCCATCTCGCATAAAGGATATGGCTTTCTTTCACTGGGGGCCATAACTCAACAATAGCAGCGTGTTTTATGAGGCTCAGATGACTCTACGGGGCTGTGATGGGGCCCCTGAGCACCCCAGCACTGCCTCAAGTGAAACAGGCAAGAATAGCACGATACCAGCGCAAAATAAAGCTAGTAAGTCCCTCCGGTAACATTATTGTTGGAGAATAGACGCGTAAATGATCCGTCCAAAAGTGCTAAATGGGTTTTCGGTCCATTGAGGAGATTGAGTAATGAGTTTGACTTCCCCATTGTCGGATATGGAGCATAGTTCACACATTCGGAAATCATGGGAAAGCAGGCCTGTCACGATAAGAGCATTTTGAAGTACGATATATGACTGAAAATGAAAATGCAGACAATGAACGATAATATTTTAACACGTTTTAGGCGGCTGACACAAAAACCCAAGAGCAGATTTAGGAATTTATGATGAACCTGGAGTTGTGTTTTGTTTGAGTTATCCTTTATTATTAATCTGTCTACATCTCCAAAACTCAAAATGCTCTGTTCCACCTTGTGATGTCACAAAGCAGTAGTTTTCAAGTTAACATCTACCTTTTATCTTTTGTTTCGAAGAGATTCACAACTCCAGCACTGAAATTACCCAAATGATTCTAGTGAAAGTATATGCACTTAAAAAAAAAATACAGTGGAGCACTTCCTGTATTACCACTTGATATCATAATGTGTGTTTTCTGTATTGAAAACTTCAGGCTTTTGGAAAATGTTGGATTTAGGAGTTACTGTTTTTTTTTTTCCATGTACTTGAGCAAAATTTGACCTTCCCCAGTACAGATACTATATTGTATAAGCAGCTCTTGAGGTCAAAATAAGTCGGCTGTATACGGTCTGCATCTAGCTTAATTGCATCAGGAAGTGCATGATTAGCATGCTAGTTATTGTTAGCTTTACTTTGGCAGCAAAACTCCCTTTGAAAGTTGTGAAACGCGCTTACAAACTCATCGTGGTGAATAATTAGAATGTTTTGAATTATGGGTGTGCAAAAATATCAAAATATTGCTAAATTGTATCGTTGAATGTGAAGATACAGTATCGATATCGTGGGCTACTGTATCAATATATATCGCCAAGAGTATTTTTTTGTATATTTCACTAAACTATTTTGTTACAGTGCTACAGTTTTGTTGTTTGTTTAGTGGAAGGAAACTCTTTTATGCAACACATTTCATATTTTCACTGTTTTAATTATTAAATTGAGTGCGTTTCATATTAACTAACTTAACTAAAGTGCTTTAATAAAGACTTACAGTATCACAGCCATGATTTAGCCTTTATTTTTTATTGAACTGTATTGAATCGTTTTGAAATATACCATATTGAATCCCCAGTAATGATATATTGTATGTAAGTGGCTCTTGAGGTCAAAATAAGTCCGCTGTATACTGTCTGCATCTAACTTTATTATATCAGGAAGTGTGTGACTTCCATGCTAGTTATTGTTAACATTAATTTGGCGGCAAAACTCCCTTTGAGCGTGGTGAATAATTAGGATGCTCAGAATGCACAAGGTAAGTAAGAAATAACTTTGGACCACTGCAAACTTTAAAATAAACTAGTTCTGTTTTTCATGTCTTCTGTAGTTGTAGTAAAATAAGACACTAGGCATGCAATAGTGTTTTAATTTTCCACCCTACTTTTTCAGCTTGCATGACCTCCAATTCTGGCTGAGTTTTGTCACCTCTATAAAAACGCAAAAAATAAAGTTTGCAGTGGTCCAAAGTTATTCCTCATTTACCTTATGCATTCTGAGCATCCTAATTATTCACCAGTGTCAGTTTATAAACGCTTTTCACAACTCTCAATGAACAGAGAGGAGTTTTGCCATAACAGTAACACTAATAACAACTAGCATGCTAAGGTACACTTCCTGATTGACAATAAAACTTTGTAATTAGATGCAGACAGTACACAGCGGACTTATTTTGACCTCAAGTGCTGTTTATACAATATATCTGTACTGGGGCATGACAAATTTAGTAGGTTTATACCTTTGTCAACCACAGCATTTCAGAAATAAAAGAAAATGTTTGAAAATCGTAGCGATCTAAGATGTGAGATTGGGTTAGAAAGCTGTACTGTTTGATAATTCTTCTCCTCTCCGTTCACAGACTCATCCGTCATAGGCTCATATGCATAAATAGAAACTACGGGTGCCTGCGGGGCTCAGCAGTAAGAGGAGCCGGTTCAGATCAGGTGTCCGAGTGTTTGTCAATAAAGAGATAAAGGGGCGTGCTCTGCGGTTATTCACAGTTATAGTGTCAAATAGACCTGACAGGGCTCGGCATTAGAACAGACGAGGGTGAACAAACAGACGTCCCTATTTATCCGAGACAGTCCCAGTTTTGAGCCATGTGTCCCCTGTCCCAGCAGATTTATTTATCCAAA